CCCCTGGGGCTCGCAAACCGCCGCAGGCCCCCATTATAGAACCCGCACGCCTCGGCCGCCGAAGGCCCAGGCCGAGTTTGCTTCCACCTCCTCCCGGTAATCCAGACTCTCCTTCCCTCAGCTGGCCAAACGAAGGTGGGAGAAAAGCTGCCTGTTGGAGCTGATTCACACTGAAGTGTGAGTGACTGATAGCCCCGTGGCTCAGAGGGTGTCTGCCGTGCTTATTTTGAAGAAGCGCATCAGAGTAGGGGGGGGGGGTTGGGGACAGCCTTCCTTCCACACATGGGCCTGGCCCCTCCCAGCAGACCAGCTCTTCCCTGCTGCTCTGGGATCAGGCTTCCCCTGGTGCAGTGCTGACAGTGGCTGCACTGGGGGTGTTTAGCCTGCCTGAGCCCTGCTACAGCGTGGGAGCCAAGAGCCCACGGCGCTTGTCGCCCTGCGGGACCCCGAGTGCCTCGTATCCTCTCTCTGCGCCTCGGCTTGCCCGTCTGTCAACACTGGTGACGCCTGTGCCTGCTGGCCAGGTGGCCATGCTGAGTAAAGTGCCCCTCATAAGTGGCCCTGGCCTGGGGCGAGGGCTCCGTGTAGGACTTCTGGAGTTGCGGTGTGGCTGACACATGGGAGCTTCCTGATGAGGTGCGTAACCAGGCCCCAGCACAAAGGGGGCCCAGGAAATGTCAGCTGCCATGATGGTGATAAAATGTGTAGAATTCTTTCACGACAGTCTGATGGCCAAGGGGGCTTGGCCAGTCCTGGTGTCGTGGTCTGTTTCCAGGTTTAAGTCCAGCCCAGCACTGACTCAGTGTGAGCCTGGTCATCCCCCTGTCCTCTCTGGCCCAGGCTCTGTGAGACCAGGCCAGGGTTCCATGACCTCCCGGCTCTCCTCCCACTGTGTTCTATACCCAGGACACCCAGAGGACCCCCTGGGAGCGAGGGCTCCACTCCGGGTGGGCCAGGGGACCAGGATAGGGGCTCTAAGGGGGGAGGACTCTGTCATAATTCCCCTTCCCTGCCTGCCCCCCAGTCCATTACTTGGCTCTGTGCCTGGTGTTGGGACACACCCTGGGCAGAGGGGGCAAGCAGAAGGACAGACAGGTAGGTGGCCCAGACTGGTCCCCCTTAGCCATCTGAAAAGAGGGCCTGGCCTTTTGAGGGAGTCCCTCAGGCTTACAGAGTCAGGGAGGAGCCCACCAAGAAGGCTACCCTGGGAGAGATAGGGAGGCGGGCGGCTCCAAATCTCCCTTAGCCCTTCCTGTTCACGTGGACAGAGGAAAGTCAGGCGCTGAGTCAGCCCCCACCAGCCCCCCTCAACATGGGTGCACTCAAGCTGCAGGCCTGCAGGTGGGAAGTCTGAAGCACACACACACAGAGACCAAGTGGCCCAGCCTTGGACACAGAGGGCCTGGGTCCTGGCTTTGAATGTGGCCACGACCATTCACCAGCTGTGTGATCTTGGCCTGGAGGCTTCACACTGCTGAGCCTCAGTTTCCTTGTCTGTCAAGTGGAGGGAGTGAACCACTTTCTACCTCGTGGGTGGTAGTGAGTGTCTAGTGGTTGGCTAGTGCTGGCACATGGTTGGTGTGCAGTGACTGTGAACCACTGGGGGTGTTTTCCTCAGTCCTCAGGGCTGGGTAACAGGGATAGCTAGGCCACCTCTGGTTGGCAGTGGGCATGGGGCTGGACCTGGAGAGGCCTGAGACAAAGGGCAAGCTCCCAGGTCCTATCCCGCTTAGGTCTCATGGCAAAGGCCTGAGTCTGTCAGGAGCGGCCAGGCTTGGGGAGCCGCCTGGGTCCTCCTGGCTTCTGTCCTTGAAGCTCTACAGTAGGACAAGGGTCAGTGACTGGCAGGCTCCTCCCCTCACTGGCTGGCCAGTAGGTGGCCTCAGTAAGGCTGCGGCATGCACATATGTGGTTCTGTAATAACCCCAGGTAGTGTAGCCAGCACTGCTGAGAGAGGTGGGCTATAGGTAGCCAGTGAAAGCAGGATTTGCAGTCAGGAGGAAGGCTGTTTGGACCAGGTGGACGGTCATGAGGGTGGGAACAGACTGAGCCAAAGGCTGGCAGTGGGGAGAGTGACGGACCAGTTTGACCAGTGGCCTGATGTGCACTGGATGTGGTGAGGGACATGGATCAAAGTGCAGAGGGGCCTGGGAGGCAGGGAGGGGGGCTGTCAGGACACAAATCCTCACCCCCAGGTAGGCGGCCTTTCTCCAAAAGGCCTCTGGATCTTTCCAGTGGCCCTGACCAGGCATCGAAGGACTGGGGACAGTCCTATGTATGGGCCACCTAAGTCCGAGAGGTGAGGGGCCAGGGAGCATTCTAGACCCTTTGTAGCCTTGGGCAGGCAGACCCAGCAGCGCCTGCCGCCTGGTCATTGTCCTTAAAGGCCCTAGGCCTAGGCACCAGGGCAGACGGGGTGATGCCAGGAGAGAGGGAACTGCTGCTCAGCTGCGGCTGGGAGACCTGAGCCTCCTTAGTGAACTCTCAGGGGATAGAAGCCCCTGGCTTTGGCGGGGGCCAGGCTCCAAGCTGCACCTGAACTCCAAAGCACCATCCCAGTGAAGTGCAAACCCAGGCTGGCCCTCGTCGGGGAGGGGGCCTGATGGGGCTTGAGGTGGCCTGGGCTCCCAGGAGAGGCAAAAACCCGCCCCACTCCCTCCTTCTCCCTGGGCACCAGAACTTCTGAGGTTCCAGCTCTGGGGCTGCCTGCAGGTCAGCCCCTGCCCACCCCCGTCCCAGGTCACAAACCACCTGGAGCTGCTGGCAGACCTGGCGCTTCCTTCACCCCTGACCCTGAGGTCCAGGGGAGACTGACCCTCAGCGCATGCCGGCTAGCCACGGTGGGCCCCAGGGCGCCTTGCCAGTTGGCCTCCAGGAAAGGTGTGGGCTTGGTCGCCCGAGGCAGTGGCCTGGTTTGGTTGGTGGGGCCTGAGGGTTTGGTCTGCACCTCTGATTCCGAGAAGTGCCCTCTGCTTCCTTGTGAATCAGATGTTTATTGTGTGCAGGCTCAGCCCAGGGCAGGGGCGGCCCACTGCCAAGCACGCCCGTTCCAGGCCACTGGGTAGGGTGTGGGGTGCCTGCCTGCTGGAACCTGCAGAGGGAGCGGAGGTCCCTGCCCCCAGGGCCTGCCAGGCTGACGGGTGACAGCCCCAAGGTGGCGCCATGCGTGCGGTGCCGAGGGTGGGCTCCCCCGTGGACAGAGGCTGAGCCAGCCTGGAGGAGGCTTCCCCAGGGCTTCTCTGAGCCAGCAAACAGTTTCTCCCAAGAAGCAGAGGGGAGTCACATTCCCAGCACAGGAGTAGCCTGTGTCCCTTTCATGTCCGAGTGACTCTCTGGACTTCAGGTCGCTCCTTGTGAAACAGGACACTGAAATCCTCCCCCCCAGGTAGGCGGCCTTTCTCCAAAAGGCCTCTGGATCTTGAAACAGTTCTAACTTATGGTATCCTCGGGAAAGTTAAAAGAGACACAGTCCTCACTGTGGGACCTAGATCCTGCAAGGGGCGCCATCAGGGCCACACCTCCAGCCCCAGCTGGGCTCCCTGTCCTTGACCTCACACAGACCCTGCAGCTCCACTTCAGGGGTTTCCTCTAGTCCTGCCTGAGGGGGTGCTGTGATCCTGCAAGCTGCTATGTGGCATTAGAGAGCCCTGTGTCCTCACACCCACTGCCCTGAGCTGGGGTGGGCAGAGCCAGCCTGGCCCCCACCCCTCATTGCTGGCAAAGTGGAGAGAGGTCAGGGGTCGACCCAAGGTCCTGGAATGCAGGGTGGGCCGTGGCCTGGTTCCCAAAGCCTTGGGAGCCCGGGGCAGCACCCACAGCCCACTTAGGGCCCTGGCTGGAGGACGAGGCCTTTGCCACCCCACTCTGAACCCTACCGCTGGGGCAGTGGTGGGGCCCCCTCAGAAGGCTGCTGCCCAGAGGCCTCTGCCCCTCTCAGGCATGCCGGGGTGTCCTGTGTACCAGGCCATGGGCCAAGCATGTCCCCAGGAGAGGACAGGTAGCAGCTCCACCTGTCTGGCTCACCCTGCCATCCCTCCTCAGAAGCAGTTTAGTAAGGCTTAAGTGTCCTGCTTGGTGCTGGGGCCCGGCCTCGGCCCCGCCCCCACCTCCCAAGCCGGATGCCTCCTGCAGGCCCGGGCCCATTCCCTGGTCGTGTTTACCTGCCTGCTTCTCCCTGCCTGAACGGGAACTCATGAAGGACAGGGCCACATCTGACTGCCCAGCAGTGCCCCTGGGGGCCTGGCCCAGAGGAGGGAAGTTCCCCTGTGAAGCTCCCACAGACTGAAGCCTGGATGGCTGCAGGCAGGGCGTGTTTAACTCCGGCTCGTCATCAGAGACAGATGTGCTCTGTCATCTTGGAAGGCCTCTGCCGCCCGGTTGGCGAAGTTTCCAATCAGATCATAGTGGGTGGTTCTGTTGTGGCCTTGCTTGAACCTCTCGAGGTTTCCATCACAGCCCCACCGAGCCATAGGCTCCAGCTGCCACAGCCCTTAACAGTCACCACTCCAGCCACCCGGTCTCAGGGGCCCCAGCAGTGGTTCAGACAGGGTGACTGAGGCGGGAGGTTTATGGCACCCACTCTAAGTGGAAGCCATTCTGTTCTCTGTGGCTGTTCGTTCCTAGAGACACACGTTGGGGCCAAGATTGGGGTCAGCTTGGGCTTCCCAGAGCCACTGGCCACAGCGGGGACATGGTCTTTGGGTCCCAGAGAGCTGGACCCCAGGCACGGCCCTGGCAAGGTTAGGTCTGCACCCAGCAGGAGAGTGGTGGGGAAGGATCCAGGAAGGCGGGCCTGGGAGTCCTGAGTGGTGGGAGGAATAGCGCCCTGCCCCGTGCTGGAGCAGGAGGGAGGCATGCAGGGAAAATCAGCACACTCCTTGTCTCCTAAAGAATGACCTCCCTACCCTGGCTGCTTCCTCTCTTATTTGAGGCCAGAAAAGGAAGGCCTTCCCCAAGGGGCGTAAGAGGCGGGCACCGAGCCGCTGCATCCCCAGACAGCCGGGCAAACGCAGTGCTGGGGGCTGGGCCCTGGCAGGCAGGCTGGCAGTCAGCTGGGTGGGTTTGACCATGGTGGGCAGAGGGTGGAGCGCTGCGTTCCCTGCCCTTCAGCAAGGACAAGAGGTGGCTTTCTACTGCCGTCACCATCTGGCCTGAAACCCCTGGGGGTTCAGGGTGGCCGTTGGGTGCTTGGCGGGGCACGTGGGAGTGACCTGCTGCAAGCTGGAGGCAGCAAAGGGCCTCAGAGCCCCTGTGGTCGGTGCCAGGCCACTGCGGCCTCCCTGCTGACCACCCAGCTCTTGTCAGAGCCAAGGCCCTTGGGGACAGAGCCTCGGCCTCCAGCAGGGCCTTGTTTGTGCTGTGCTGCACACCTGCTGGCCACCCTTCCCCACAAGGTCCTCCCCCCAGCCCCCCACCTCCGTCTTCTCTCGGATCCTACCCAGGGGGACTTTCTTCCTGGCCTGCCCCAGGGCTGGGGTCCCTGGTGCCAGCTCCCTGCTACACGGGGAGCTGCTCAGGGCGGCCCATGGGGAGACTCTGGAATAACTTCCAGGACTCACCAGGACCCGGCCTGATTTGTTTCTAGACCCTGGGCTGCTGCTGCCAGAAGAGGCTGATGCCTGGTCCTGCCGTCAGGG